TATATATATATATATATATACATACATATATATATATATATATATATATATCTACAAATTATTCTATTAATAATAATTTCTAATTAGTTAAAAATGTAAAATATTTTACAGCATTAAGTATTTAAGTTGTCAACAGCGATCGGGCGTAAATTTGTAAACTGTAATGTTCTATTTACACAACTATCTCGATAGTAAAAAAAAATTCATTGAAATGACTGTTATTATTATAGTAAAGAAAGATATATCTGCTTAAATTTTTTCCTGAAATTTAAGTAAATATAATAACATGTTTCAATAAAGTTGTGTTCCTTATTTTAAGACGGGATTTGGTTCTCGTTTAAAATATAAATTATAATTTAAAGTAGCATTTTATTTTTATAGTGAGCCGATTTTGTTGAAAGAAATTATAATTTTAGGAGGCGTAGTTTTCATGTATTATATTGCATTCCCAAGAATTTTTTAATTGGAATTTTATTTCTAGATATATTTAAAAAATGTGTCTAGTTATATTTCAATATTTCTTAAAAAAAATTTTAAAATTCTAAATAATTTAAATAAAATACTTAAAAAAGGAAGTTATAAATGTATTTAAATATATCTTCTTATAAGAATATCGCTTTCCCATCTCTCAACAAGAAAAAAGTGTAAAATAATATGATAGGGCAACATTTTCAAGAAAGAACAATATTTGAGTCAAAGTTCGAAATAAGCATGAGATTTTATATTCTCATATTTACATTCTTAAGAATAAACTTTTAATTTGTAAAACAAATACACATAGAGTTTCAATTTTTTTTTTACGATATTCCTAGAAATATATGAATAATTTTTATTTTTTTTATGTTTATTACAAGATTGCAAATCTTATTCTTCCTATAAAAATAACTTTCATATTCCTAAGCTTTTATTTCCAAAGAAGGAAGCATGTAAGTTGATTTCCATTATGTGATAATTAATATTTTTTTTATTCATTCTAACTTCCTTCGCGCACAATTTTATAAAAACATTTTCAACACTTACCAAACGCTTTCTTTTTAAAAATTTTGGAGTGTTAATCCCGCCATTATATTTTTATAAATATTATTTTCAAGAATAAAAATTATAACTTAAACTTGAAACAAACGCCCCTTTATTATAAAAAAAATAACATAATTTAATTACAAAAAGAGTTACCTGAGATTGACCAATGATGCACGTGGATTGTTAAAATTTTAAGAATTTTTTGGGTTTGAGAAAGATTTTCTTATTTTGTCTTTTTTTGTCTGAATTCTTATGTTGTCTTTATTTCGAGTTTATATAAAATAATTATAGAAATGTTAACCCACTTTTACTTTATATTTATTTTGAATATTAATATGAGAAAGTATGAAAAAAGTTAGCTTCATTATCTTTAGAAAATGCTTGAAAATAAAAATATTAAAAGTATCATGTGTATTTTTATATGGAATTATAAAGCATGATATGGAGGTAAGCCATGCTCGATAAAAACCATCATATGGGATAATAATTAAACCTTCATTAATTTTATATAGTTATTTAAAAATAAAACAATATTCTTGAAAATGTTCTCAAACTAAGTCATTACAAGCCATTAAATACATGAATCAATTAGTGTGAAAAATTTTCAACTCAAGTAAAATTATAACTAGTAAAGAATATACGTGTCTCAAATAAAAAAAATGAGGAATGCAAATAATACTTTTTCTAACACTTTTTTTTTTCTTTGTTGTTGATTTGAGTTGTGATGACTCGGACTTATTCAAAGTGGCACCCTACTACTAGTATACTTGAATATTAAGTACAATTGTTTTTAACAGCATGAAAGAAATTCATCCATCGTTAAAATACTGAAGATAGTTCAAACAAAACTTGAAACTGAGCGCTGTCAAGGAAAGGGGGAAAATAAACATCCAATTGTTTTTCTCCTTTCAATTTTTTTCCCTTGAAATTTCTTTCAATTACTTTTATTATAATTAATCCTATCCCACGTGATATTTCAGGCCAGTGATCGACCAAGGGTTCACTTTCTTGGGGATGCAATATACATCGGCTTCATTTGCATCTGCCATAATGAATGCCGTGCCCTCCGTCACTTTTGTGCTAGCCGTAATTTTAAGGTAAGGTTTAATTTTCATACGATAAAATGACTCTTATTTTCAACTCATCAATGGGAGATATGGATAGCATACACAGTATTAGAACATTTAACCTAAGTAAAAATCTGCTACTTATCAGGTTAGAGCGTGTAAATGTTAAGGAGGTAAGAAGCCTAGCGAAGGTGATTGGAACATTGGTAACCTTTTCAGGCGCTTTATTAATGACACTTTACAAAGGCCCTCTAATTAAACTCTTTTATACTCCAAACGCAACCCACCACCAAGATGGAAGTCACTCGCCTGAGGTTGTCAAACATTGGGTCTCAGGGACTCTCTTTCTTCTCTTGGGTTGCGTCGCATGGTCATCTTTCTTCATTTTACAGGTAATTAACTTCATTTTAGGCTTTTCATTCTTCTACTTTGGTAGATACGTAAATGTGTAACAACATATGTTATGGCTAATTAAATTGTGAATTGCAGTCCATAACATTGAAAAGGTATCCGGCAGAATTCTCACTCTCTTCTTTGGTATGCTTATCGGGTGCTTTGCAAGCTAGTGTGGTGGCACTGGTCGCTACTCGTCACTCTGGCCTTGGGGCATGGGCCTTAGGCTGGAACTTCAGGCTCTATGGCCCTCTCTACACGGTTAGTACTCTGTTACAATAATATTGTTTATTGGGCTCCAACATACAATTTTGCTAGATCTAACAAATAGTCTAAAAGAAATATTTACACCAATAACAATTAGAAGTAAACTCAGGAAAAAAAAATACTATTATATACACGAGAAAATAGAAGCACATTGTGCCTTTCTACATTATTTTTTTAAGAAAAACTTAAAATAGAGGAAAGACATCACAATACATGTTAGATTTAATGATATATAAAAAGCATTACTATAGAATATAGATACAATATCCGTAGATATAAATTAATATATTTTACATATATCACATATAATTTTAGTGTTGATTTTAAATAAAATTTAATAATATAGATTGTGTGTCAGTATATTTTATATCTATACTTTTTAATGATGATAATAATAAATATTATGTTATTATAAGATGTGTACCATTATTAAAAAAAATTATAGGGAAGGTGTAAATGAAATAAAATATGAGGGTGTAAAATGAATTATATTGACACAGAAATTTCGTGAAATTATACAATTTTATTTTAATTTTTAATATTATAATAATTCCTCGTAAACAATTGGCTAAAATAGTATTTTAGTCCCTTATAATAATTGTTTGTTTCAATTTAGTTCCACTTTTATTTTTTGTCTCAATTTGGTCTAATAAATTAATTGGTTGCAATGTCGGACTTCCGTCCAAATTATTTAAACGGAGTTAACTATTGATCACGTGGATGCCACGTAGATGCCCACAATGGGCCGTTCTGGTTTCAGGTGTTTTAAAAAAAAATTGACATCCACGTGGCATCCACGTGGATTGGTACAAAGCATTTCAAACACTGAATTTGATAATATTGTCAATGGAAATTGATAACTTCAATTACTAAACAGTTGAATTATACAGTGTATCATTAAGGACAATTCAGTGCATCACTAAAGACAATGGTAGTGGATTTTATTTCATTGTTAGTCAAACTGAAGTGAACCACTTACTACCAAATTGACACTATACAGTAAAGGATGAAATGACATGGTATTTTTCCTTGAAGTCATTAACGATGTACCCCAACAACAAGAACCTATTCTTGAAGAGGTAGAACCTGAAGTAAAGGAAGATGAAACACAAGAATAATATTTTACCACACAACCACATGCAGGGACGGATTTAAGTTAATCATAGTGGGGGCACTTACTCCCACTAAATTTTTTTTCATTCTTTTTTTTTTATATATAAAATATTAATAATTTTATAAAATATATATTATTAATTATATTTTAATTATGTTGTTATATTTAATATAATAAATACATTAATATTTGTTTATATTTTATTTTATTGTTTAATTTTTTTTTATTTTGTGGTAAAATCATCTTCATTTTTAATGAAGAAAAAATTTACTTACTTCAAGAGTAAGTCTTGATAGATTTATTCTACTTAATAATTAATGTTCTATATCAAATTTTTAAAAATTTAATTGTTAAATTAAAAAGATTTTCATGTATAGATCAAATTTATAAAAAATTAAAAAAAAATTAAAAATCATATGATATTTCGTTAAATTAATTCAAATTTTCATATAAAATATTTTTGTTTTAAATGAGTATAAAAATTTAGAGGACACTAAAAGAAAACAAATTAATAATTTTATTATGTTTATCCTATTAATTTTTATCATTTTATTCCTCTATATTTAAATAAGTTGCAAAAAATTATAAAGTGACACTTAAATATTTCTTCAGAGAGAAAGAGAAAAAAAAAGTTCACTCTATTTATAAGACAATTGTATTTTATAAAAATAAGTAATTTTAAAATTTTTACCATAAAAAAATATTTCAAAATTATTAATTTTTTAATAAAATTAATATAGAATATTTTATGGCCTGGCGTTCTGGAACGGGCCGTTCCGGATTCAGAACGACCCGTTCTGAAACCAGAACGGGGCATTCTGGTTTCAGAACGGGCCGTTTTGATGTATTGGTGGTGTGTTAATTTTGCTTCTGGAATGGCCAGTTTCATATGCAAAATTAACACACCAATAGTGCACCCAGAACGGGCCGTTCTGGTTTCTGAACGAGACGTTCTGATTCTAGGTGTTTTCAAGGACTTTGGCATCCACGTGGCATCCACCTATGCATCTACGTGGCATCCACGTGGTCAAAAGTTAACTCCGTTTAAATAATTTAGACGGAAGTCCGACATTGAGACCAATTAATTTATTAGGGACCAAATTGAGACAAAAAATAAAAGTGGGACTAAATTGAAATAAACAATTATTATAAGGGACAAAAATAAGTTTTTAGCCTAAACAATTAATACAATTTGCTATTTTTTAAATAAGAGGTTAGTACAATGATAGAAAAATGAGGAATATCTAGAAAAAATGAATGAAATTTAATAGAATGTCAGTATAATTTAAGGCTATAATAATTAAGAAAGTAAAATGTCGAAATAAAAATGGATAATTTATTATTATTATTGTTATAGATTAGATATTATTGCAATGACGATTCTCTTAAATTGCAAGTTGAAACTTCATAATTTCAAAATTACAGGGAATAGTTACGTCTGGAATTACGTATTATGCGCAAGGGTTGGTATTGCAAACGAGAGGCCCAGTATTTTTAACAGCCTTCAATCCCCTTTGCATGATCATAACTTGTGCTTTAGGCTCCTTCCTTTTTGCAGACCAGCTTCACCTCGGCAGGTATATTATTTCTCACTTGGTCACAACTACTGCATTTTGATTATTATTTCATTTTAATTATTCAGTATTCACTTTGTCCATAATCCATATCAATTTTCTGAATGCCTTTCTTCTGTTTTTCTCTATTATATTGATCTCATGCAGTATCATTGGAGCAATCATTATCGCGCTAGGTCTATACTCTGTGGTGTGGGGTAAAGGCAAAGACTATTCAGACCCCATGCCATCATCACCTACATCCATAACAAAGCAAATGGAGACACAACAGTTGCCAATTACCTCATCTCATATCTAACACAAATTTCCAAAGGAATTCTCAATAGTGTACTTTTTCTGCCTCTAAAATCTGCAACTTATGTAAGCTTACTTCATGTTCATGCTTTTGGTTTGCACGTTATGAAGGGATAGAGACAAAAGGCACACTGTCATTGGCATATATATATTTCATTAAAATATATACCATCCAGAATAAATAAATAATTATGTCTAACGTTACACGTGAAGATAATAAGTTTTTAATCCCCTTGTCTTAAGTAGTTGCGTGGTTGATCATCCTTTAGTTCTTATCAAATGATAGAGTTTCTTTTGTAAAAGCCAAAATTTATGACCAATTAATGGTGAGAACAAAGCCAGGGGGACTATTGGGAAAAACCCAAGTCCCACATCGACTAGAGATTAGGCAATTGAATAGTATATAAGTGGAAAGCAACCCTTACCTTACAAGCCGGTTTTGTAGGGTTGAGTTAGGCTTAATCCACTATTCTAACATGGTATCAGAGCCATTTAGATCCACTTTAAAAATGGGCCACCCACCATTGATGCATGCCTCACAGGCATGAGGGGGTGTATTGGGAAAAACCCAAGTCCCGCCAATCCTAGATCATTAAAAAGGGCCACCCACCATTTATCCACGTACCAAGCCCAATAGTGCTGGACGTGAGGGGGTGTATTGGGAAAAACCCAAGTCCCACATCGACTAGAGATTAGGCAATTAAATAGTATATAAGTGGAAAGCAACCCTTACCTTACAAGCCGGTTTTGTAGGGTTGAATTAGGCTTAATCCACTATTCTAACAAGAACAAAGCCAAATCACAAGTAGTACCAAGGCTTGACACACCGATCAAAAGATACAAGAAGATAATAAAGTAACACTTCAACAAAACCAACAACGAACGACGTGATCCTGCACTGCACCCCGACAACTTTAGAAAAAACAGACTTGGAAAAAGACCATACATTAGCCAAAAAGCATGCTAGCTCGGCACAATAAGTATGGTGTTGGGCAAATTCCATTGCATTTGGCTAGAAAAGCATTGTTGGATTATCTTGGAATTACACCTCAAACACTTTCTTCTTCACTAAAATCTAGACTGTCTTTGTTATCCGCTGTCAACATCCTTAAGAAAGCCTTATTCCAGGACCTGTTCTTAAAGTTGTAATGCCTAATTTTCATAATTAATTACTATTTTAATTTTGAGATTAATAAAAATATCAGGGCAAAAAATACTAGCTAATTAAATATAACGAACAATATTTTTCAGATTTTTTTGCTTGTGATAAAAGAAATGAATTATAGGAATGTTTAGGGTTTCAAATTCTTTTATGGTCCCCTTGTTATGATGTATTAATTTCAGCCAAACGCAAGTCAATCCACAGTATTGAAGTTCAAATTTACTTAATTAGGTTAAGTTTAATTTCTTAGCATGAAACTCCTTTAAAATAATCCTGGTGTTCTATTCTAGTTCCTTAGCGCCGTCAAATTCCCAAGAATACATGAATCAATGGATGATCCAGATATAACATTAATAGGGCTATGTTAGAAAACGGCCCATTAGAAATAATCCTTTGGGCTAATGGCGCGTACCAGGTCTGAGGTATTGGGCTTCTATCAGAATGTTTCCAACGTTTGCTAACATTGAGTGCCAAGCTTAACACCCCTGTTTGAGCTATATTTTAGTTTTCATCCAACTAAGGATGATAAGTAAATTCGTATTGATAGTAGTATATGAACTTGTCTTAACTTTAATAAAGAATACTTGATTTGATCAAGTACGAGTGCAGGTGCGAGTAATATCAGATTTATTAAAGTAGACACAGGAACGGGATGAGTATATGCTTACTCATCTTGTATCCATACTATTCACACTTTAAATTTTTAAAAACTTAAGTTTTTTTTAAGAATTTACTTGAAATTTATGTAATTAAATCTCTTTTCCAAATTTATGTCAAATAAAATTTAATTAATGTAATTTTGTAATTTTAATTATATGTTAACATTCTTATTTTTTATATATATTTTTGCAAAAAAATAATAATAAATTTATGAGTGATTATTTGACAGGTACAGGTATATCTTATATCTAACGAAGACATATATGAAATACAAAAATCATACCCATCAAATATGAGAACATGGATGAGTATCAAGTACAGAAACAAGAATGAGAACAATATACTAAAACCTGCATCCTTCCCAGTCCATTGTCATTCCTATCAAGAAGCAATCTTATTATATCATATCAAAAAAATTATCAATCAAATCTCAAGTTTTTATTTTCAAGATTTTATTGGTTATGAGACTATACATCATCTCAAAGATAAATGTCTTAGTGAGTCAAATATTAAAATCTAACAAATAAGTGTACTAATATTTTAGAATCTCCTACTTCTATTAACATTTTAGAATTTTCAATTGATTTTTGTAACATAATTTTTTCTTTCCATTTTCTTAATACATTTACTAATTAACACCAAAATAATACACGGTTTTTTTCTCTCCTCAAAATAAAAAGGAAACTTTGTTAAAGTGTACAACAAATTTACTTTTGAGATGAAAAAGTCTTTTCAAAGATAAATTAAAAACTATTTTTTAAATTGTTATATTTGAAAATTTTGTCGACGATGAATTTTCTTTTTATATACCGATGGAGAATTGTTTGAGAAGATGAATTTATGTAGTCTTCTAGACTCTCATTCTCCTAGATCTAAACATCACCTTCACTCCTTCTCCTTCTCCGGTGGATATTGACCAAATAATGATGAAGAAAGGTGCTAGAAATGGTGTCACTCCTTCAATACGAAGAAAATAAACTAAACAAAGAACTCACCACAAATGATGAATCACTTGATAAGAGTTTTAGAGTTTTTGAACTCAAGAACTTTTGGAAACTCTTTAAGAGAATTTGAGAGTAATTTTTTACTCAAAATTTGTATATACTCAAAAAGTGTGTGAATTACACCTCCAAATGACTATATATAGGGTAAGGTAGTGTGTGGAGCAAGCTAGACTAACTAAGGTTAGAAATAACATTGGTTAGCTTGGTTTAATTAACTTCATGTGAGTTGGATCTTGAATTTGAATTTTCTTTTCCCCCTAAAGTCACGTCCAAATAGGAAAAATGAGAGACTTATATTCAATCCAAACTCAACACAAATGAAAAAGGAGGGAAGCATACAGTAGGTATGACAAGTGGGCAAGACAAGGCTACACTAAGATGCAAAGTAACAACTATGCAACCTAGTGATGTGGCAGCCCATGTGCAGCCCACTAAGCACTCCTATAAATGCTAAACAAGCCCTTTTCAAATACTAATTAAAGGAACCCCTAACATATAGGCAACATAAAAGAAAATAATAGTCAAAATACAAGGCCCAAAAAAACTAGAACCCTATAAATTGAAGTCATATACCCTACAAACTATGATCAAAATACAAGATTAACAATATCTCAATACAATTACTATTAAAATGAATTATAAGTAAGAAAAATGTATAACAACTATAAGAGTCTTCTAAAGTAAGGTAAGCCTCCAAAAGTATGGTACTCTATAAAATAAGATTAAGTACTTACAATTCTTCAAACCAATTTTATTGGTCTTTACTATTCTTAGATTTATTTCTTCCAAAGAGATCCTTAATAAGTAGGTTTCCATCGTATATCAAACAAAAAATTGTAAGCGAAATTTTAAGGTTTATAATTAAAATCAATAACTTATCTAAGTTTCCTTTTCAACAATTAATTATTTTAACACACAAAACTAACTATCACAAACTTATTTTAAGGGTTTATATAAAAATTAATTATTTTAATAAAATTCAAATAAAATAGATTAAATATTACTTTAAAATTTATTTAATTAAAATAATATGATTATTGAAATAGTTATTTACTATTAATTCAATAATTCAATTCAAATTTTAAATAATTAGCAAAATATATTTCTAGATAAGTTTTATTTTACTTTTTATCTAACAAATATTTTAGCCGGTAAATGGCACTGGTTTTATAACTAAATTTATAACACACACAAGATCGGAA